GAGGCAGAGCAAGAGAGAAGGGGGGCGGCGTGGAGACGGACAGGGGGGTCGGGAACCTGTTCGCACTGCTGACCCCGGCGGGGGGCCTACCTGCCCGGCGCCCAGAGGATGAGCCCCGCTATGGTCTACGACGACGCGCTGCTCGGCGGCGGCATAACGGCGCTCCCCCCTCCGCTTCCCCAGGAGGGGCCCGGGGCAGCCGGCGGCCCCCCCGGCCTCCCCGGCCCCGACCCGGCTGCCGGCACCGCGGCTGCTCCGCGCCGCCAGTCCCCTCCCGCCGCTGGTCCGGAGCTGTTCGCCCGCTGGCTCCGCGTGCGCTCCGCGTCCTCCGCGTTTTTCCCGTTGTGTCCGTCTGTCGGTCCGTTCGCCAGTCCGGCCGGCCGGCCGTGTGTCCGACTGTCCGCTAGCGTGCGGTTAGTGATCTCTGCTACGCTCCGCCACGCCGCGCAGCAGGCCTATCCCCGTGAGTGCGTGTGTGTATGTGTGTGTGTGTGTGTGTGTGTGTGTGAGAGAGAGAGAGTGAGTAAAGTGGCTGTGCAGGGGAAGCTACATCGCGGGAGAGAGACGGAGGCACCCCCCCCGAGGCCCGCCACGCCGCGCCGCGCCACGCCTTGAACAGAACCTGTCCGATTTGGGCCAGCCATCCTCAGACTTGACAACACGACGGGACCCCAGACTCTTTTCTACTCCAGACGCCCCCTTTCTTTCCTTCCCTGGGGGTTTTCAGACGTCGAGTTTGGATGGAGATACTCCCATCCCTCTCCCACCTCTCACCTCCCGCCACCACCATCATCACAACCACCACCACCCCTACCTCTGGCTCTTATTTTAAAAGCTGGTCAAACGCAAGGACTCTTCTGCAGCAAACTGGCAAGAGTTTCGGGGCTTGGTCGTGCGTTCCCGCATTATTATTTCCTAGAGTCATTTTTAAGTCCGTCAATCTGTCTGATGTAATATTGCCGGTCTTAAGTTTTCCAAATTATTTGCAAAACATTTTGCGACTGTCTACATAGCGTGGTTGTGTTTACAAACGTCGGCATCATGGCCAGCATCTCAAGTAAAACGACAAACTGCCCGTGACTCACGGGTGCAGTCGCATGCTCACGTGGCCGTGCGGTGCCCCACTGTACTGCACACACTTCGCACACACTCCGCCTCCGCGCCACCGCACACTTTGGAGGAGGCGCTAGGCGCTGCCGGCCGGCCGGTGGTGCCGTGCGGTGCACCCAGAAAAGCAGAACTTCAGCGTAAAGAATTTTTATTCACTTTAAAAAAAATTTCATAGCAGAAATCAAAGAAACCTTTTTCGTTAGGATGACGAAACATTTTTACTCAGTCCAACGAATTTTTTGTCAAATTAAAAATAAATAGTTGAGCAAATGAATTATTGTTTATTTTTGGTTTACATTTAAGATTCCCTTTGTTTTGGAAACGTCAAAATTTCGTTGTTAGAAAGACATCGTGGTTTTCTGGTGCGCTTTTCGCCGCTCATTTAGCCAACTGGGGCGCCCCAGTGAGTGCGGCGGGGAGGTCGCCTGCTCCGCCGGGACAGCTGTGCCTGGCTGTGCCCTTCATGGCGCCGCAATTAGGCCCCGAGGAGGGCCCCAGCTGCTTGCTGCTCGTGGGCGCGCGCCTGCAATCGTGTTGCAGCGAGTGGCGAGCGCTCTTACAATCAAGTTTTTGGGGGGAGACGACGAGTGAGTTTCGGCGGCGCTAAGCATCAGTTTTGTGAGCCTGGTTGATGCCTATCGGGACCGTGCAAGTTTCGCGGCCCCGTTGCCGTGGCTTGAGCTGTTTCCGGTCGCCGGTCTCCCTCCCTCCTCCTCCTTGGCAGTGTGTCTGTTCAAACAACGCCCGGAATGCAGCTGCCCGTTGCCGCTTGCTGCTGTCTGCAGGAGCGCTGCGCCCTGGACTCTGCGATTTTCCGCTCCGAATGGCCGGGTGGGGCCGCCGTGGAGGGGATGGGTCCAAGCAGGCGTGTCAAAGTGGACGCCGCTGCCGGGAGGAGGCCAAAGGAGGATGTCGGGGAATCTCCTCTTGCAAGCTTTGGACCATTTAGCGGGTTGGGAGATGTGACCCTCCTCTGCCCATGCGGGGAAGGATCGTGCTGTCTTTTGTTTGCCGTCCCTGAAAAATTGGCGCCCGCCTCTAGTCTTGGCGTGGTCCTGCTGAGGTCGTCCCTCCTGGAATGTGTGGAGCGGAGTGACCCTGGAACGCGATTGGAATGCTCCTGGAGAAATGGCCTGGCCTGGAACGCCCCTCGGGCCGGAGGGCATCGTTTGGGCGCCCGGCCGTTGGCTCCTGGAGTAGTGCGCGCGTCTGCTTTCCAGAGCGTGAAAGCCTCCTGGAAATCCTCCTGGAAACAAATGGCGGGGGCCCTGGAATTGGGCGGCTCGGCCCTTGCCGTTTTGCTCACAATGGCTCGGTGTGCGAATTTGAACTGCTAGGCAGGGGAGTCTGTGAATCTACGAGAAACTGCTCCCTCGGAAGCGTGTCTGGTAGGGGAGTGATGGGTGCTAATGTTGGGGAGGGCCGAGGGGTTTTTGAACGGTTTAGCATTTTCCGAACGAAGAATCATTAATAAACAAATATTTGTCTCTCTCCCTCTCTTTGTCACTGTCACTGACCTCTTCTGTACGCCTTCCGTTTGGGGTAGGTCAGGTAGGTCGCGGTCGCTGGGAGACGAGGGATAGGGCGAGGGGGGGGGGAGGGGGTCGCGTGGCCGAGCCAAGGCACGTCCTACCCCCCTCCCCCGCCTCACATCCGTCTCCTTTGTTGTATTTTTTAGAGGTGTAGTACAAGTACTGTAGACTGCCTATATCTTCATCCTCATTGGTTGAATGCCGCTCTGACGTAACGGGAGGCCGAGCTTCCCTTCTTGTGTCACTGTCACCCTCCGCCTCCCGGTCTCCTCGGGCTTGTCCTTCACGCTCCCCTGGACCTCGTGTTTTGTTCAGCTTATCGCAATAGATGTATAGAGACGACACTGGGCGGTGGGCATGAGGGTTATGAGCGAAAGAGGAACTAGTAATATGTTTCGGATTGCCGCCATGCCGTTGGTATGTCATTCCTAAATGCATGGAGTTTATGGATAAATGAACGCACAGCAGGGTTGGGGGGCGTAATATAGTGCTTCAGTATACCTTTGTCGACTCGGCACGTGGCCGGGGAGACGCTCCAGCTCCCCCCCCCCCCCACACACACACACTCCATCGCACACACGAGGGCACGTATCTCCAGCGGCCCACTTGCGGAACTAACCAAATTCACACACATACCCGACACACGTGCACTCTCTCCCTCTCCCCGCTCTCTCACCCTCGCTCTCACCTCTCTCTCTTACACACGGACACGCGAAGTAAGCCAGCTCACTACGTGTGTTCGGCACGGAAAGGGCACACACATACACACTACACATCTCGGCTAATTCGCCTGCTTGTTTGTTGCTCGTATTCCATGGTTCTTTTTTTTCTTCTATTTGTTTTCTTGATCTAGTTTCATAGGATTCTCTGACATTTAAGTACTTTTCCACGCACACTGATCTTGCCGTCTTGTAAATATTTGGTTAGTTTGCCACTGTGCTTGCGTGAAGTGACTCGTGGGTGAGCGTAACCCTCGGTGGCACAAATCTGGTCCTCTTCCCCTTTTAGGCTGATTGTCACTTATACTTCGCATGCGGATACCAGACCACAACGGGTGCCCTGCAAGGTAGTAAATACAACCTCTGATTCACGAACAAAATTGCAGTCGCAAAAATTTAAGAAAGGACGTATTGAATTTATATAACTAATTGCATGTGTTCCTTTTTTTGAGTTCCTCAAGTACAGTCAGTTTAGCCCGTTTGTCCCGCTTTAAGCTTTTGAGACGGCGGACGGGATATCGTTAGCGTTGCTGCCGAACCATTTCTTGGCCGTTTTTCGTAAAACGTGCGCGTTATGTCACGTAATAACGGTAATCAGCTGGGGGCAGGGCGGGATCGTTGATTTACGACTGACGGGCCGTATAGGGTGCGGCGGAAGCGCCGCCGCCTTGACCAATTTTCGGACAAAACTTATAAACAACTTCCCTCCTAATGGAAATTTTGTCTTTCGTCAAACGCCTGCCTGTGCGGGGCGCCTGCCGGGTAGGCAGACCCGCTAGACAGTGGTGTCTGCCGGGCCTGCCTACCCCGCGCTCTGGCGGGCGCTCAGGACAGACACGTTTCACTCAACTCAAAGAGAACGTATACAAGAGTTGTTTTTGGTTGTTTTTATTTTATTTTTGGTTGAAGAGTTCCTGTGTTTGCGCTTGCGTTGTTACGTAAAATGATGCTGATGGGTATTTGCGTGGTTTACGGCGTATTTTTTTGTTTGTTTTGCGTTTCTTGCCGCTTGGTTGTCTTTTTGTCATTGACACACCCGCGAGGCTCGCCGTGGTGGCAGATACACTGCCGACCGAATAACTACAGGGCCTGCTCTCGACCTTTACGGCAGTAGGAAGGAAGTGTCTGTTTTAAGGGTTCACTTAATCAAATTTTGTTAAATGCTGTTTAACTTCAGCCATTTCGCTCAATTTTTTTACACTAATATAAAGTTTGGTGTCATTCAATTTTCTTTTCTGAATTTGCTATAGTAAAACGTTGTTTTTTGGTGTTTTTTTTTTTTTCCACGTTCTTTGAAGTTAGACAAGTGTTCGCCATAAGTAAACATGTAAAATTGTCGTGGTATAACTGGAGCCGCGCGCGACGCGGTTTTAATTTTTACTTGACAACCCTGAATACCTCATGAGCTCCTTATCTGTCTGCCAATACTCAGTTATTTCAGTAATGGGTATGGTGCCTCTAGTGCCCCTCTCCCCAGGGTGGACTTTATCAGCGGCGGAGCAGCTCGGCGTGCATGCCGGCCCGTGCACGCGCCCAGTGCAGAATGCGGTGACGTGGCTGTGCGGCCTCCTCGCAGGGATGGGTAGCCCGTAACAAACGGTATTACGGGAAAGTAACAAACTCATATATCAAAATTAAAAATTTGAACTGGCAACGCTCGACGAGCAAATCTTCATTTAATACACTGTTCCTTTAAATTTACTAGTGCGCCCGTAAACGAACAATTCCCCTCGTAAAGCGAAATCATGAGAAACAGTGTACTTTTTCACGGTGGGAGCGACGCGGAGGTGCCTCTGTGCTGACTTCACAACACACGACAAAAATAAAACGACGAGTAATACACAAAGCTCTTCTTTTTTGTTTGCGAGTACATATGCCCCGCCATGCCTCACTGTTAGAAAAAACCACGGAAAAAACACAGAAAAACTATGGTCAATTTTTTGCCCAGAACGTCCGTCCAAATCTGTGCTGAAACCACAGAGACGCTACGGAATCAAAGGTACAGAAAACCACGGAGCTTCTGTTACAGAACGTCTGTGCTACTCCGTACACCTGCCACAGAATTATTACAGATATTTTCTGTGACTTAGCCATTCTTTTCTAGACACAGTTTTGTTGAATTAGAAGGATCGTCGTCTGCGTAGGATACTTTGGTACCCAAAGTGAGTCAAAAATTCAATTTCATTGGCGCTTTAGCACAGGACTGCAGCGCGCGGGAAACTAATTCCCATTTGAAACGTATCAGGGTGGGACACTAGATGGTGACCAGGACGGAAGTGATCAGCGAGAGCTAATGTAGAATGCCATCTAGCGGCGTCTTCGGACGCCTTACCACTGAGACACAATATCTGTTACAGATGGGTCCGCACCCCTTGAATGACAGACTATTTATGTGACGGAAGCAATCTGTACGATTCTGTTCTGTTTTTTCTGTAATTTTGAAGCACAGACTTCTGTGTTCACAAAATAACTGAAAATTTCTGTAACAGAAGCAATCTGTACACCTCTGTTGGGAATTTTTCTGTGGTTGTCTGTGGTTTTTCCACAGATTTTTTAACAGTGCTCGCTAGCTGAAGCTGCAACATGTGTGCATCTGTGTGTCATGGGGTCCATAGGCCGCGCCGGCGTATAGCGTGCCTGCTGGAGTAGGATATGGTTGTCTGAGACGGCTGGGTTCTTTCCTACGCTCATATGGCTCAAAAGATTTAGTCAATCTATACTATTCTATATTTTATCAAGTTGGTCTTAAATTTATTGATTTTGACAAATGTTCTGTACATTTATGTTAAATTGAACTAAGGTACTGCTATAGGATTTTTCCGTCCCGTCTGGCAAATAAAATTTTCCAGACGTTTTCTAGGCGTGAATCTCCTTACGCTGCTCGAGACGGACAGCTGGCCACAAACACAAGGCGAGCCCTTGTGCAAGCCGTAGCAAAGAGGCAAGACGGTGCTGAGGGGCGCAGCCGGGGGCAGCCTTGTACGTATTTGCACGTGCAGTGAATGGGGGGCCTCTGTGGGCTGAATCAACAGAAATTGGATGCGGAACGCTCGATGTGCAGAGCTGGCCGAAACTGTATCTCCATACCCATTCCGTTACTGTTTTCCCCTTTCTTTTTGTGTCTGGTTTCTCACCGATTAGGTATAGGTAACTCGGTAGTGACGCCACATTCACAAATATACATATTTTTTTACACCCCCTCCAAAGTGAATGGTCTTGCGTCCAACACGTTTGTGTGTCGGACGAGAGTGTTACTGCCGAGCTGACAGCTCCGCGGGGCCCTCCTCCTCGTGGGCGTCGCGCGCGGCGCTCCATTTGGTTATAATGGGGTAATCATCCAGGATGGCCCTTTTTCTCTCGTCTCCCCTCGCTGCTGCCCTCCTCCTCGTCGTCAAGGTCACCCTCTGCCCTGCACACGCCCGTCAGTAGTGGCACACTGTCGCGCGCTGCCCGTATGGCGATGATGATGCTCTCCCAGGAAGTATCACTCTGCCGACACCCGTCGCGACACCTCTGTGTTCACCCGCGCCGAGTGCGTGCCTGCCGTCGCCAACGCGATAAGGCCATTGTCTGGCTGCAGAACGGTATGACGGGCTCCTGGAAAGGGGCGCGCGTCGTGGGGCGTGGCGAGGTGATGGGCTGGGGGGG